ATTTCTTAGCTGGATGATTGCGAATATCAATCTGCTGCTTATTTGATGGTCGTATAGATTTCGATGACCCTGAGCCTTGGGGTTTGTTCCCGTCGCTCCTCTAACCTCCTCCAAGCTCCTCTAACCTCCTCTCGTTTCAAAAAATCGTTCCCGTCGCTCCTCTAAGCTCCTCCAAGCTCATCTTGATTTCACATCTCACCACCACTATTTGCCTCCTCCCTCATCCCAAACGAAAGTTGGTTTTTTGGAGGAGGCTCTTGCGTAGACATATTTGGCGCACGTAATACAAATGTGAATTGTTTATAAATGAGATTTGAGGGAAGTGGAAATGATTTTAGTGGTTCATGACGATTGGATATCTTTAAATAGTAATGTTTGATATTAATCTAAGGTTATTTTATAAGAAAGCGATTATTATCTCTTGATTTATGTTTGCGCGCCATAAATCGCCGACCGTTACAGCCCGCAAACAGCTGATTTTCTCGCGAAAATGTTCCCGTGGCTCCTCTGAAACGGCTCTCCTCCAAGCTCATCCAACCTCATCCGATATTTTTTGGGAGGAGCGACGGGAACAGACCCTTGGATTTCGACATTCATGACGCAGTTTTGATGCAGTAGCACGTAGCACGTGAGAGCAGGGTTACCAAAGCTTGGGATTTGTCCCAAGATCTTGGGATATTGAACCCGACCTTGGGACCTTGGGATTCAACAGCAAACCTTGGGATTTGTCCCGAGCTTACGACTCCCGCTAATTTTAGCACATTTTTTTAATCATTGGAAAAAGGAAAAGTATTAATAAAGACCAAACAAAGGAATCAGAAACACATCTAACACAACTTAATTGTTTGTTTTTTGCAAACCGTCCTTTTTGGACGAACACAACCGAGCGTTCTTTCGTTTGGTTTCACTGTACCTTACCAAGCAACCAACGAAGCACGAATAAGTTATCCTTATTTGACGCGTCTTCACTTTGTTTCTCCCGTCTCAGCTCTCAAGTGAGGCATTTAGCGAAATACCCAGTGGCTTCCGCGTCGATTAACACCCGGCTTGGCCGCCTGTTTGCGAATTGTGACGCCCGACGGATCGGAGGCGGATCCAGCTCAGAGTTTTGGGGGGCAAACCATAAAATTTATCGATTCTTTCCATGCATCATCCATACGCGTAATGTTAAAATTATGCCGTTTGGGGGGGGGCAAATGCCCATTTTGCCCCCCCCCCCTGGATCCGCCACTGCGACGGATCATGCTTCAACTCGTAAAACCCAGACAGGTAACTTGCTGTGTCTCTGTACCTATGCCTGCGTGTGTAACTGTGCCGAATGCAAGTTATGTTAACGATATTGATTTATTTAGTCAACCAAAGATTTGAAAATACGTCAAATACACTTTATTTGCTCTATATTTGGTTTCTATAGACCTTGGGATGCACACTGGGCTTTGATCCTGTCGACCTTGGGATATGGAGCTCGATTTTGGGAAATTCGCGCGGCGATCTTGGGATTTAGAAAAATTCTCGTTGGTAACCCTGCGTGAGAGCGCGCGCGCGTTGCTGTGATGCGCGCTTGGACTCAACCTCAACTCAAAATTATCATTCTGAGCGGACTCACACAGAAAACGAGGGATCTTGATTTGGAGATTGAGATGGATCAGCATGGTAAGTTCGGTATAATAGCATCGACTCACTTTTCAAAAGTAAGTAGTGCCCACTTACGTAATATGTTCTTCCATTTTTAAAGTGACCATTCCACCTTAACATTAGTTTTGAGTTGAGATAGCTAAATTGGTGGCCATGGCCTTCAGTACCGGTTTCAGTTGGGCAAACTAGACCTTTGGAATCAAAATATGGAGGCATCAAAAGATTGGTTCCTTTTGGGCATAAATGCAGACCATTTCTAACTTACTAATCACATAAAAATAAGAGAGTGTTTCCAGAAGGAGCATGCCTGATCTTGAACAGAAATGCTTGCACAATCTCCTAAGCAAAATAATATTGCTCCTATCATAACAATTTGAATTCTATAGGTAGTGAAAGGCAATCAAGGAATTGATTCACTTTAAACAGATAATCATAATATTGATTCCCCATCAGCTGGCTAATCATTATTTTGATTCACAGGTAATGTTAACAGATAGGCAACAATGACTTGCAAGAATACAGCATTTATCTTGCTATTATTCTCATTTAGTGGTATCCTCAGCACCACAACTGATACCTATAGCATTGTTGTACTTTACCTTCACTACATTTGATAATAATTCACAATTTTTAAATGTCAAGAATACAAAAACTGAAGCAACAGGTAAAAACCATATAAATAATATAAAAGCACTACAACAATGATAATTAGGGGTTTAAAAATTTCATTTTGCCATTTTACACAAATACTGATTGGTTAGTATGTGATTCATGATACAAAAATAACATACAGTGTGATTTCCCCAAAACAGCTTTTACGTGATGGACAGTGGCTGTCTTTTTCCCATTCACAAGGCCAAAGGGACAATTTCTCAGCTTTGAGGTAACACTTTTTGCAAACCTACCACATTTTTCTACCTTTTAAAAGAAAAATCTCACCGTCATGGGCCTTTTTTCAACCGTAATGATTCATTTGAAGTCAAAAGTGTACTCAAATGAATCAAAAAATTGATTCCATGCCCATATTTGGTCATGGCTCCTCCCACCAGAATCAAATTATTGATGCCTCCATATTTTGATTCCAAAAGTCTAGTTTGCCCAACTGGTTTGGGCACTCACAACGACATCAAAAAATGCTTTAATTCGGATATATTGAATTTCAAACTTGCAGTTTTCGGATTCTAAGGGGCTACTGCACTGTAATGCCCCCTTAGAATTTGTGATGTCAGTGGAGATCTAACCAGGGGCGGCGCTGACCTATTGAAAGTAGGTAGGCACTTGGTAGGTAAGGCAGAAAAGCTGAATACGGAATATGTAGATAAAAGGGGGAAAAGACAGTCTTATTGCTCAGTCGGGATGCGTCAAGCAGCGACAGCAGCGTCATCTACAACAACCATTAACTTAACTAGAGCTTACACGTCTGCCGCCAGAGACAAGCTAGTCTCCCAGTAGGAGTCTAGTTTGTCCAATATAGTTTTTAAGAAACAATAGAATAACACAACAGGCATAACAACGCTAGGTACCATAAACTAATGATAAAAAATTGATAACGTAAAATGTGTTTTATTTTATGATAAATGGACTTAATAAAAAGTCAAGTTTGAAAGTTAGAAGGTAGCACCTAGTCGATGTGCCGACCATCTAAACTTTTTCTACCAAAAGGCTCAATAGCCTCAACATGGCAATAGTCGATAATCTAGTAGGACGAGGTAGGCACAATTAGGCAAAGGTTTTTGTCAAGTTGTTGTTATAATACGATCTTTGTTTGACGTTTTTTGAAAAGTTTTGGCAATTCTCTTTCGTTTCAACCCATTTTAAAAAACGAAGAGAAAAAGATCTTAAACAAAAGCAATCAAACAATCAAAAGCCACAGTCTAGTGAGGGTGTAGACGCAGGGGAGAAGACAAATGACGTAGGCACTGCCTACCTTGCCTATATGGGAGAACCGCCCCTGGATCTAACGATTTTAAATGTTTTACTAAAACGTTTGGTAGCACGTTGCGGTATATGCTGTTTTAAGCGCAACAAGGGCCACACTTTCAAATAGTCGCTAGGTACAGCGTAATGCTTTTTTCCACCCAAAGGAAGGCGCTATACGGAGAATATCCCATTGCGTCATTGAAAAGTGACTTACACCTCTCACCGGCCAGCTGGCTGCGTGGTGTAGTGGTGAGCACACTCGCCTCGTGATCTAATAACTAGGGTTCGATCCCCGCCGCCGGCCGAACTTTTTGGCGCGTTGTAGGTTAGGTTGTAGGTTTGAAGGTTGTAGGTTTGTAGGTTGTAGGTCTGTAGGTTAGGTTGTAGGTTAGGTTGTAGGTTAGGTCAGGTGAGGTTAGGTTATGTTTGTTTTTGTTTGGTTTGTTTACCAAGAAGCATCTTCGGGTATAGCGCCTTCCTTTGGTTGGAAAAAAGAAACACGCCTAGGAACAGCAGAGATTCCAAAAAGTAAACAAAAGTAAAAGCCTAAAAACTTGTAAACCAGTGAATATTTTTTGGTGAAATTTGGTAGATATTAATTTTTGATCTTTCAGAACCAAGGGATATCACTTTTATGCCAATTCATTAACTTTTTTGAAGGTGGGAGGGTCCCTTTAACGCGCTAAATCCAGATATGATGATAAGGTAGGTGTCTCCAAAATATTAAAAAAGAAACATAACCAGACCTTACCTAACCTCAAACCTGACGCAATGATTTTGTTTAGGCATCCATGGATAAGGAAGAAGCTTCAACAGTGGGAAATGGAAAGTACCATCATGTAGGTCGCCACAAGACAATTCTAATAGTATTTACCCAGTAGTTTTAGCCTTCGCCCCAGTGGGGGGGGGGGGGGCATTTGTTACCACCCTGTCCAGTTTTTTGCGTGTGAATAGAAAACTGGTGTGAAGTGCCTCACCCTCACCGCTTGGAGTAGCTTGTAGTGCATCATTTTTTGACAACATATGAAATTTTTGACCCCAGGTTGAGGTCATGTCAGCCTGCCAGGTCAGGAGGAACAGTAAAAATATTTCAGAATCACAATGATTTGGACTACTAGTGACAACAAAGGTGTCTTTTGCTGCTAGCCTGCTCTCTAGAAAGGTCATCAGAGATCATTTGAGGCTACAAACAGTTTTTTCATATAATGCCAGGATCTAAAGACTAGGTATAGGAGCACCTCCATTATTTTCCTGCTGCATTCTTGTTGGCAAACCATGTCATTGTCATTATTGAGAGATGTTTTATGGGTATTAATTCCATAAGGAATTATTCAATTATTGGTGGTGATAACTCTGCAACTTTGTATTTTCTTGCTACATAACTTCTCCGTTTTGTGCTTTCATCTAGTCAACTCAATGTGAACTGATGTTGGACCCCATTCCAGATCCATCAGTGTCTGAACTACTGCCGCTCATGCGGGCTGCATCAACGTCACCAAAAGGACCAAAGTGGTCTCGCAAGGGCTCCGCTGACAGCGATGGGGAATGGGGTCCGTCACAGAGTGTGAGGAAGTCTCAGAGGCTGAGGGACTCTACTCCTATAGACAGTGGCTCTGAGAGCGACTTTCGGCCAGTTGTGAAGGAGGAGATAAAGATTGAAGTCACTTCACCAAGGGTAAGTGTTCAAATGCCTGGTGCTCACCTCTCATTGGTTTTTAGCTGCGAGGTTAATAAAAGGGAATGACAGCGCATAATGTGTTCCAATTTGTATATCTGTGGAGGATAAACATCTCATGTTTCATTGAATATTGTTCGTCTGTTGATCCGGTTTAGGTTGAGCGGCCGTCGTCTCCCTCGGTGTCGGACGACGATCCTTTCTCGGACCTCGCTCTGCATTCTTTAGTGAAGGAGGAAAAGTACCGACCTCGATCACCGTCACCGTCTGAGGACTTCATCGGGTTCACTGAGGTGGACCGGGACAGGTTAGGGCATGATTCAGTGCTGTTGAAATTTGAGTAGTTATTTGACATTCTAGACTATCCATTTGATGAAATGATATATATTTGTGGTGCTTCTTTTTTCAGTGCTTGTTTCATCTCCAGTGTAAAAAGGAATATGCTACTGGGATGCCCGTCGGACAGTGAAGACTCGGCAGAAGGCAAGTTGACAGATGCCAGGAAAATGCATGTCGTCTCTCTATTTTATCATTGACCTTTCTCTTGTACCTTTTGCAGACAAATTGTCAGTTTTTTTAAATTTTATTTGATTTAGACTCTACAAAGTGATGTAGTGGTCTGACAGTCATACGTTCTTTTGAATTGGCGCCTGAGATTAATGCCACCCAATCATACAAAACCATTCATTGTATTTCATTGCAGTCTTTGCCGAAGGAGAGTTCATGAAGAGTCCTCGTCTCGTCATAAACTACCGTGATGTGGATGGTCTAGATGATAGCAACATATGTGAGTATTCTCCCTCCTTTTAGTCAATTACAACTTTTCCTCATCAACGGAGGAATTTACATGATAAGAGCTCACAAAATTGCAGACAAATAAGAACCACCAAACACGTACTGTTTCGGTATAACAGAAACGTATATGATAAAACCGTACTGTATCCTCCATCATGTCAATAATACTTTTCCGCCTTATTTTCTGACAGTTTGTGACGTGTGCTGCCGCGATTGGGACGGTGAATGTCCCGTCCATGGACCGCTAAAGATCATACACGATACCAAGGTAAGGGACTATCCTCCATAAGTCCATACCTATTATCTCTGTTCATGTTTTGTGTTGTTCTGTTTTAGTTACATCAGTAGGTGCCCCCCATATTTCAACATTTAATTTTGAATCTGTTCGATTTGGTGCTAAATTGCAAAATGACAATAGGTGCATGTGGAAGTTGTCGATTTTTATATATACAAAACTTTCTTGACAGTTATTGCCTGTGCTGCAATTTTGTCGATACTGACATGGATGCGACCAGTTCAACAGTTCTATGATCTTTGTTCCGAAAACATGCCGGCTGATTTCTATAGGTACAGTATAAGGATAAGCTCAATTCCTGCATTATATCATCCTCTGTCGACATTTCGCCCTACATCAGTAGTAGGTACATTACTATTCCAGGCACGACCCGGTATCGGAGATGCCGACAGGGACGTCAAGACCCTGCCGCCTTCTCTCAGCTCTGGTCAGTCGACAAATCCAGCGTCTGGCACCGGTAAGTTAATGAGGCAAGACAAATGGCGGTACGTAACAACTGCTGCTGGACGTTTGATGCATCATTTGGTGATGGTTGCTTGTATTGTATGATTTCATGTCCCATGTATCAGTACATGTGTCCATTTAGTTGAGGTGAATGCTTGTATTTATTTGATTCCAGGAGTTTTGGCGGAGAAGGACATACCTGCGCGCCAAAGACTCGGTCCTTACGAGGGCACCTTGACCACCGAGCAGGGTCAGGCCCGAACTCGAACAACCGGGTACAGATGGCAGGTCAGTTCAGTTGTTTTGTTTTGCAGGTAAAAAACGCATATTTTCACTTTAGACTTACTTCAACGATAAAAGCTATTAAAAAAACATTTTAAGACCAATGATAGCAACATATAAATTTTATGTTTTCATTGCGCATGCCATATTTTTACTTTTTTCTTTGAAATGATGAACTACGTTTTTGTTTGGTACCACAGATCAAGAAGGGTAAGCGCGTGCATCACTCGGTGAATGCCGAAGACCCGAGCTGCAGCAACTGGCTCAGAAGGGTCAACTGTGCCCGCTCGGAGGAAGAACAAAACCTAGTGGCCTTCCAGTACCGGGGCCAGGTATACTTCAGGTGCGTTATAGTCTTGGAATCCACGGATCTATTCTTCCTAACTGCGTTACGTATTTTATGCGTGGTTCGTCCTGTGGCCCATATTTTCTTTAATGGATTCGTCGAAGTTATTGATAACAGTGTAAGTGTTGTGACTACACCAATCAAGCTTTCATCAATAATGCTATATTTATCTCCCTATGCAGGACGTCAAAGCCCCTTCCGCGGGGCTCTGAGCTGCTGGTGTACTACGGAGACGACTCGGCCCGGGAACTGACCGTCCACTCGGAGACATCTGGGGAGTCTGTGACTTCCTCTCCGGCCGGACCTTCATCTTCAGGTCAGTTCATCGTTTGCGGCTCCGAGTGCTATGGTGTCCATCGAAGTGACGCTGGTAATGCCATTTACCCTTCTGCCGACAGTAGACTGTTTTTTGCCCGGTTCGATGAGAAGTTCTACTACTTTGACGTATGCAGGCACGACGTTTATATGCCAACTTACATGGGCTCGGTTCGTAACTTGAACTGGCATTTCGGCTTGCGACCTAACCGGGTTAGGTCGTTCTATGCTAAAGCAGGTCGCATAATGCGACCTGCTTTAGCATGGAACGTTTTTTTAATGGCCTTCTTTCTGTGTATTCTTCAGGCATCAGTGGCTCGGTCCAATGTCCCCAATGCGGCTTCAGATGTTTGGGAAAACATTGTCTGGACGGACACGTGAAGAGAAGTCACGGCCATATGGGCAGGAACGGCAGATTGAAGTGCGAGTGGTGTCAATACTCGACCGACAGGCCCGACCGTATGAAAAACCACCGCAGAACTCACACAGGGGAACGGCCATACGGCTGCTCCATTTGCAAGGCACGGTTCTCTAGGCGGTCAGGTCTCACCGATCACATGCGGACCCACACTGGGGAGCGGCCATACGGCTGCTCTATCTGTACGGCACGGTACACCAAACCGTCCGCCCTCACTATACACATGCGGACTCACACTGGGGAGCGGCCGTACGGCTGCTCCATCTGCACTGCACGGTTTTCTGTTCGAGCAAGCCTAAACAACCACATGCGGATTCACACTAGAGAGCGGCCATACGGCTGCTCCATCTGCAAGGAACGGTTCACTGAACGGTCAAATCTCACCAGACACATGCGGACCCACACTGGGGAGCGGCCGCACGGATGTTCACATTGCCAGGCTCGGTTCGCTAGGCGGGGAGATCTCAGCAAACACTTACGTACCCACACGGGGGAGCGGCCTTACGGTTGCTCTGTTTGCACAGCACGCTTTGCTCAACAGCCAACCCTTACGACACATATGCGGACCCACACTGGAGAGCGACCTTTCGGTTGCTCCATCTGCAAGGCACGGTTCACTCGACGGTCACACCTCGATACGCACATTCGAACCCACACTGGGGAGAGGCCGTACGGCTGTTCACATTGCCAGGCCCGGTTCAATGAACGGGGAAGACTCAGCAAACACATGCGTACCCACAGTCACACGAAGGAACGGCCGTAAGGCTGCTCAGTGCTCAACTTGCCGGGCTTTGTTCGCTCAACGGGGAAGTCTCATGAAACAAATGCCTACCCACCCGAGGGAGCGGCCATATGGCTGCTCAACCTGCACGGCACGGTTCGCTTCGCTTCGCTGTCAAACCTAACCAAACAGATGCGTAGGTGCTCACACTGGGAACAGGCCGTTTGCTTGCTCTGTCTGCGTTGGACGGTTCACTGTTCGATCCAGCCTCACCATACACATGCGTACCCACACAGAGGGAGCGGCCGTACGGCTGCTCCATCTGCACGGCACGGTTCACTGAACGGTCTACCCTCACAAAACACATGCGTACCCACACGGGGGAGCGGCCGTATGGCTGCTCCATCTGCACGGCATGGTTCACTCAACCGTCACGCCTCACTAAACACATGGGGACCCACACGGGGAGCAGCTGTATGGCTGCTGTTTCTGCAAGGCACGATTCATTGTTCAATCAAGTCTCGTCAGACACATGCGGACCGATGAGAGGAGCGGTCCGCATGCGTCCGCGGTCCGCAATTTTAAAACATTAGGTATACTAAAACCTCTGTAAAACTGTGGTGGTATATGCTGCTTTGCGCGCAACATCTGCCGCACTGTTAAGATACCATCTTTCTTACCGACAGACAGACCGTGCTCTTCTTCAGTCCTTTGCGTTGAAGCTATGCTGCTCTGATGTATGTTGGCTTGACGTTTAATTACCGCGTTACCAAGCTACGTGGGTTTGGTTCGTTGGACTGACATTTCGTGGGGAATAGCAATCGGTCCTGTTAAAGACTAGGTCCACTATGTCGATTCGATTGTTTCGGAAAAAACTTCTGCCACATCGTTCAGTAGCCTTTATTTGGACCTTTATCCGTCGCCGGGCCGGGGGATGGGTTGGTCGCCTCCCCCGTCCTCTTTTTCGCAGACATCTAAAAAGCGGCTGTAGAAGAGGCCAGTGTCAGCCAATCAGCGTGCAGCTGTTTTTTAAGAACGCAATATGATTGGTGAACGCGTAATATCCTCCGCCACCATATTTAGTCCCAACGGAAGATATAATATAATTCTTCGTACCTATACCTGTTATAAGTAAGAAATCTTAAACATGTTTTTTAATCGGCATCATTTTTGTCATAAAATAATCATTTAACTGTAGGAAGAAAAAAATATATATATTTGGGAGTGGTACCTATATCCTTAAAGGACTGCTGAGGGGAACGATTTTACCTTTTGAAATATTTTTGAATAGTTGACGGCCGATGGGTAGGGAAGATTGGGGCAGATAGTGTCACGGGGCACATCCTGTCAGCAGGGTTTTCTCGAAAACTATCGAGCGCATTTATGTTGTTGAAGTTAAAAGGTTTGTTTTTGCTTGACAAAGTCCGGTACTGTCAATTCAACAACGTGCCGGTGACCAGGCTGTAGTCACTGGCATACCTGTAACGTGTTCGTTTTACGTGATGTCATCGTGTGAATTTGCCCTTTTTATGAGGTACCCAATCTCTTTAATTACTTAATTGTTTTGGGATATTGCGTAATATTCAGCATCAGTCTAACGAAACAAGATTTCAGTGTCTAAAACTATCAAATGGATGCAGTTTTTTTACTCCCGAAGAAGTTTGCACCATGACGTCAGCATTCTCTCGTGACGCCACTTAGTACATATTTATCGCCTTGGTTCCTGTGGCCATGTTGGATGAAATATAAAAAAAACTTTGTATTTGCAAGGGAAATCCAAACTTTTTGACAAGAACAAAACGCTAGTTCATGACTGTGCAGATAGCGTGATGGTTGCATTGAATACCGTTTCGGGTAGTCTTGAATGTCAACATTTTTTTTTCTGAACATATTGTCCATATTGTCGAAGTTTTCAATGAGAACCACAACATTTTTATTGACATCGAGTGGGGCACATCATGTTACTCAATCCGCAATCTAGCCCATCTGTTCAGCATTGTTGGAATTTATGCAAGCTGCTGCAGTGGCGGATCCAGGGGAGGGCAAAATGGGCATTTGCCCTCCCCAAAGCCAAATCGTGTGGGCAAGACTATCTTTTTGCCCCTCCCAAAGCATGTAGCGATGAGCAAATCTAATACGGCGTCGATGCCTATATGGACGAAAAGCAGGGCTTCTTTCCGTGACGGCCATTCCGAAGGAAGGAGCTGACCACTGGCTGCTGATATTTTGGGTCGATATGCTGATATTAGATTGAACCCCCTGAACTGAATGCATGCATAAGCATATGCAGTGTGGCCAATGGCCATGGTGTGGGGTAACACGGGGCAAGATGCCCAGTCGGGTAAGACGCCCACCACCCTATATTCGAAATTACCTAAGCAATCCACAGTTTCGTCATTTGTTGGGAGCCTCATTGCTGTGGAGCGTTCCGCGTAAAAGAACGGCGACGTGACTAGCCGCCATTTTATACCTATTTTTTGCATATGTTCTGAAAATGTCAGACCAAGGTCTCTCAAGGTCACAAAGTCACTAAGCTGTACGTCAAGTGACATAACCTAAAAACAGTTCCAATGCCTGCCATAGCTACACCGAGTGACGGATCGCTTTGAAACTTTCAGCAGTTAATAAGGGTAACAGTACCTATGTACACAATGTTAGTCACATGATTTTTATATCGATGACCTAGGGCTAGGTCATTTTTGCGACCTCTCCACTATAAGTCAATAAGAGAAAATTGAAAGGCACCTTTTTGGGCAAACCTGTCCGGTAGCTCAGTTGGTAAAGCAGTGGACTCCCGGTAGTGAGAGCCCGGGTTTGAATCGCTCCGGCGCTCGATATTTGAGACTCCTGACGGGGATGGTCTGAGGTTGGTGGGAGCAGCCGCAGCCATTCAAAGTCAGGAGTGGGACAGGCCGTGTCCGGCTTCGAAGGGCACGTAAAACATTGGCATCGTTAAACGTTAAACTAAATTCTCCTGTCACCCGGAATTACGCGATCGGACGGTAAGGGTGGGGCTCTGCGCAACAAGCTCTGCTTAGCGTAGGCTCCCGCTCCCGTCAATCCGCCCTTTCAAACATTCGTGCTAAATTTATAAGAAACGTCACTCTTAACAATACCGAGTTACAACCTAAACAGCACACAGTGAACCGGAAAATAGCACCCGTGACCCCTCCTTATGTCCCTGAGATCATCTCAGGTCACGAAAGATATGCAATAGTTTGCAGCAATTCGCTAATAACTTCTGCTGGAGGCATTCTAGAGCAATAGAAACACCTTAGATGTGTTCAGCTTTACGATACAGATCGACTGATATGCAACACGACCTTTTCCGGTCAGGTCATGACTTGACCAAATGTCAAAGTTGTAAGTCCACTTTTTAAGATCAAATTATAACTCATTCGACGCGTCTTCGCGAGAGGAACAAGATGCCGGTAAAAGTAAGATCGCACAAGGTTTGATTCAAAAGTTATCGCAGAAAATCCGTTCCCGTAAAAATATTATATATTATGGCAGTTTTCCCTGGAGGCTAAACCGTTGATCTTAGGTCCAATCTGAGCGCATTATCTAGAAAGAACAGTAACAGTGCTATCAAATTAGCTTTTCTGGGGCGCTCTAGCTCTATTCGTTTCCGAGTTATGCGCCAGTTCTTCAAAAATTGTCGAAACTGGACCTAAATATTATCCAGATTTGGCCTTTGATGGGCTCTGGTGATCTGACATCTGACCTGACCTTAAAAGTGACTGGGGTAATTTGGTCATTATGTTTGACACTCTTTCAAACGCCGCCTACCGCGTGTTGCTACGTGGTCCAGGAGCCGAGTTAGAAGGGATAGGGCGTTCAAACATCCACCAGGGGCGTGAAAATCCAGGAGCCCCAGCGCGGCTGGGCACGGGTCAACCTAAGACATTTTACACCATCTTACGGTAAGATGGTGTAACTGGCGTTGTGAAGTATCTTGGTCACTGCACTGGCACGGTGGTGGGTCGGGGTCGCCGATGGTCGGCTAAACTTTTGCCCTCCCCAAACGGATCGGCTGGATCCGCCCCTGAGCTGCTGCATTTTAAGGAGCTGCATCAAAAACCTGGGGGTCTTGAGCCATCCTTGCGTTTGGGGACATTACATTTCATAGGGTGTTGCGGCACCCATGCCTCTGTGGACGTTCAATTTTCATCTGTGTCAGCCAACCGATCTTGTCCATTACGTGTTTATCGCCGTCGCAAGTTTATCGGCTGGTGACTGTTAATTCCACCACCGCTCCTCGACGTCTCTTTACGTCGTGACCGCATATCAGGCATCGGTCAGTACCTTCAGTGGCTCTCAAACTTCTTCGTCCAGATGCGGACGGCAAAGCTGGGGCCCTAATCCTGCTTCACCGACAACTAATGCGTCGCTACTAAGGAAGCGATGCATGACCTTCATTTTTTATATTGAGTATCACCCAGGATGAAATCATTTTTGTCTGATTTTCCACATCTGGCCAGAAACATTGTCGACATCCCTCTTCTCTCAATGTGTTTCACAGGTGTTGGTCGCACACTTCAGTGTCCCCACTGCAACGTCAGATGTCTGGGACAACAACATCTGGACAGACACGTGAAGATAAGTCACGGTCACATCGGCAGGAACGGGAGATTCAAGTGCGAGCGGTGTAAATACTCGACCGACAAGCCCACCCGTAGGAAACACCACCGGAAGACTCACACGGGGGAGCGACCCCACTGCTGCTCTATCTGTACGGCACGGTTTGCTCAGCGGTCCACTCTCACCACACACACGCGGACCCATACGGGAGAACGGCCGTATGCCTGCTCCCTCTGCCATGCACAATTCTCTGACCAGGCGCACCTCATCAGACACAAGCGAACCCACACTGGGGAGAGGCCGTATGGCTGCTCCCTCTGCAAGGCACAATTCAATGAACGGTCAAAACTCACCGGACACATGCGAACCCACACTGGGGAGCGGCCATACTGCTGCTCTATCTGCAAGGCACGGTTCTTTGAACGGTCACATCTTACTGCACACATGCGGACCCACACTGGGGAGCGGCCGTTCGGCTGCTCCATCTGCACGGCACGGTTCGCTGAACGGTCTACCCTAACAAAACACATGCGTACCCACACAGGGGAGCGGCCGTACGGCTGCTCACACTGCCAGGCCCGGTTCGCTAACCGGTCACACCTCACTACACACATGCGGACCCACACTGGGGAGCGGCCTTATGAGTGCTCACACTGCCAGGCCCGGTTCACTCAGCGGGTTGCTCTCACTCAACACATGCGGACCCACACGGGGGAGCGGCCGTTTTGCTGCTCACACTGCCAGGCCCGGTTCACTCAACGGTCACATCTCTTCAGACACATGCGGACCCACGCGAAGAGCGGCCACACGGCTGCCTCTACATCAGCAACGGTTCGGCAGTTTGACTCACAAAATACGTTTTTAACTGGTACACTGGTAAGAATAGCAAGGTGTGAGTGACCGAAGCGGTAAATCGTTCGAATGTCGAAATATAGTGTTGAGGCTTCATGACAAGTGCATGAGCAGCCCCCGTTGTACGTTAGTTATTCGTGTTATAGCTGTGACTCTCGTTTGTGAGCTTCGTGGCTACCAGTGTCATATCTGGTTTGTTTGTACTTTTCCAGTGTGATTCAGTGGTTGTGTATTTAAAATAGCCGCCCTTACATAGGAGGAAAGGACTGTCGAACTGGCGTTATTTTAAGCGCCGTAGCGCCATTTTTAACCCATTAATTCCGCTTGGGTCATGTATGACCCAAAAGCAAAATCTTAATGTTTCTTCTCAATGGAGGCAAGTGGCACTTTGATGAACTTGCGCGTGTGTTTTGTCGATTTTGTGGGTTTAGTGACGAGCGTCGGAGCGGCATAAAACTGGTGTGAGCTCGTCCACTGAAGTTTCTGGAGCCAAAGACGACGGGACTGCACAGCCGCCGGTCACTGGCAATGGCGCGCCGTCCCAAAAAGTAATGTATTATGTTTGCAATTTACTATCTGTTGAATGATCGTCTACCTATTTAAATTTGTCTGAAAAAGTATGATGTGTATTTTTGCCCTTCTTCTCGTCACCGGATAACTTTTGTTCCTCAATAAATATCCTTGGGTCATAAATGACCCAGCCGGCAATAGTGTTATCAATTTACTCAGTATATTAAATACAATGGAAGCAACTGATGATTATACGATTATTTATTTCTGGGGGTTGTGATCAGATCACAGTGGCGGATCCAAAGGAGGGGATCCGCACATCACATGGGTCACTCATGACCCACCTTGGGGCCCGGGGGCACCACCGACCTATCAGGAGCACCACAGGCCTGACAGGGGCACCACAAGCCTAGCAAGGGCACCACGGGCCTGTCAGGGGTACCACTGCACAGGCTTGTTAGGGGCACCACAGGCCTGCAGGAGCACCATCGGCCTAGCAAGAGCACCACAGACCTGCCAGAGGCACCAGATGCCTGCCAGGGGCACCATCGGCCTACCAGGGGCACCATCGGCCTCGCAGAGGCATCACCGGCCTCACAGGGGCACCACCGGCCTCGCAGAGGCACCACCGGCCTCGCAGGGACACCTTGGGCCTGTAAAGGGCTCCACGGGCCTGTTGGGAGCGCTTCAGGCTTGTCAGGGGCACCACAGTCATGCCAGGACCCAGGGGCACCAGCGGCCTAGCAGGGGCACCACAGCACTATGGTTGGAAACGGCCTCACGGATGGCCATGGGCAATTTCGGAATATATGTATATTTGGGGCGTCATTCGGTTGGAAATTGATGAAATGTTTTGAATTGGGCAGAAAAAATATTTAGTTGCGCATTTAGTCTTCATTATCGTAC